CAATGGCAATTTTCAGGTTGATATCATTATATCAACGGCTTTGATACCTGGAAAACCAGCACCACGCCTAATAACCAAGGTAATTGAGAAGTTATCTGTAATAATTAGAGAATTGCTAATTATGCGTTTATGCATGTATGCAAATGCAAAAACACATATTGTGACGACAAATGATGTGCGCGTGTGTGTGCGTGTGTGTGTCCGGGTATTTCAACTCGGCAACCAGCCAAGCTCCGACGCCAAAATTTTTGCCAGCAAATTCCCTCGTCAATTGCCACCTTTGGGCCGTGAGACTAACCCTCACGCACATCTGAGCCCCACGTACGACCATGTGAAATTTTGGCAGGAAAACCGCTGATGCGGGAGCCAGAAAAGCTGCAAAGCTGGAATTTCGAACGAATGTTCCCCATTAACTTAGAACTCAAAGATTTCAAATTCAGCTCCCAGACGTGCGCGGCTCTCACGTATGGTCCCGCAAAAATTTTTGGCTGGAAAATCGCTAACTCGGAAAGCAGAAAAGCTGGAAGGCTGAAATTTGACGGAGTGCCCCCTGTCCAAATACTGTATGCTTACACAGTTTACTTCCCAAACTTCGAAGACTAGTATGTCACGTTTTCTAGCTACTGGGTTTCCGAGCGATCTCCTCGCTACAGCACGAACTGCTGCAAAAACGTATGATCGCATGGGCTTCCCTGGTGCGCGTTGCCATTGATTTTAACTTACAGATTAAAAAGAATCAATGTCTGGGATGGAGGCCTAAATTTTTCGATTTGATATTTTGAATATCTTAAGTTGTTTTTTTGTTTTGAAAAGCACATTTTTTTTTAAAGGAAATGATAGCTTCGATGAAGCCAGGAAGTGTGGTTGTTGATTTGGCCGCAGAAACAGGTGGCAATATTGAAACAACACGTCCTGGAGAGTTGTATACTGATTCGAACGGCATAGTACATATTGGGTACATCGATTTGCCGAGTCGTTTGCCAACACAAAGTAGCACATTGTTTGCAAATAACATTTCGAAGTTTCTGATGTCAATCGGTAAGCGTTTTTTTCGTGATAGTGATAGGTTTTATCTTTTTCTCTTCAGTCTAACCAAGCTGTGAATTCTTCATTTAGGACATATTTGTGTGTGCCATGCGTTTCGTCCACAGAAAAAATAAATAGCAACGCGCACCAGACTAGCCGGTGCGATCATGCGTTTTGTGCAATTCAGC